ACGTCATACGTCACCCCTCAGTGCCCTATGGGCCAGCACATGCTGTACAGTCTAATTCTTCAACTGCAAACCTGGAGAAATGAAAACGGAGCCACAAAGTGGCGCGAGCACAGCACGCGATCAGCCCTGAAAAGGCACCGACGAGTGGTGGAGGCAGATTCGCACTTTCCCATCCGGACACATCCTCACTTTCTCAATGCCCCAGACAGTCAAAGCTTAAACGTTCACGAAGACACCCGGACCCAAACTACAAAAACACCCAAAGTCACAAAAGTTCAAAGTAATGACGAAGGGTCTTGTAGCCGAATGTATACTCGACCTTGGTCTTGCTGCCATCTGCTGCAGAGGTAAAGAAATAATTCCCCATGGCGATCGCGACGTTGCCATGGCAGTCGATCTGGTGGTTGTCAAAGACAACCTCTGACCAGCCCTTGCCGCCATTAATGGCGAAGCCTGCATCCTCAGGAATTCCATCATCCACTGCCTTGTGCCCCACGAAGTAGGACATGGCCTGCTGCGCCATGGGACGGAACTGAACAGCCTTGGCCTTGGTTGGCTTGAAGAGCACTTGTCCGTGTCCATAGCAGTAAAGTTCTCCCGCAGCCTTCCCAGCAGCTGCAACATAGTCTCCCTTGTCCAAGTACGTCTTGGAGATGGTCTTGATTGCATTTGCCCATGCCGCCTGTGCTGCGCGGACATCCTGCTCGGTGACGCAAGGCCCGCTGCCGTTGGGAGCCATTCCTTGGAAGCAGTTTCCCATTGCGAACTAATCACTGGCTGGTAGAACACACGTACTGTGGCACTCACTGTGCCTCACAGCCTAAATGGCTACATTCACGAGGAAGCATGCTCACCACCACACGTAGAGGCGTGCGACTTCGTGGGAAAATCAAGCTTGCTGTTGGGATGTGTCTGCGAGAGCGCGTACAGCGCAACCACTCAGAAAGCTAAAGCAAGCCGGTGGCTTCAGTGTCTCATGTCTACATGAGAAGTGAGATGGTTTAGTAGGAGCTCTTGCTTCATCTGACTCGCTGCTCGGGTCTCAGCAGCAGACTAAGCAGGTCGAAAGTCCTGGGCGGGCACTCTCACACTAGGAGGATCTTTGCCAAGAGCAGCATGTAGGGATTCTAGATGATTCTGGTACGTAGCGGCGATACGCTTCTCCTGTTTGGGAGTCCTCATGTGCCATTGCGACCGCCTTAGCTGTAAGTATGAACTTCAACCTTGATAGGTATGCAGCCATTAGGGTTTAGGGTTTAGGGTTTAGGTTCACCTTGCTGCTTTCGGTTTGATGTAGCATTGACCTAAGCTGCAGGCAGGATGAGTCTCTTCATGACCGAAGACCCCGCAGCTTACATGCGACCCTGACCCGACCCAGAGAAGAGCTTAAGTTACTATAATGAGGAAACCCTTTTATTTACTATATACCCATATCATGGTAACGTGATTTAAGTCCTTAACAGCAACCCAGAGAGATCACAAATGGAACGTCTGTTGAAGGTGATGGGTGCGCACTGCTCCACTGCAATCGGATCCTCTATACATTAGGTGTACATTCCTATTCTGCCGCTATTGCAGAGTGGGGGGTCCACCTAATCTCTACATTCCAATAGTGCGCATTCTCTTGTTCGGTATTTTGGACCTTGCGAAGTTTTGCTCAGAATCCCCCAAACAAGGAGGCATAACACGCAGGGAGCCACAGAAGGGAGATATTCTCACTCAGGACATGTTCATAGATGGGGAAAGCTTATACACCCCAAAATACTGTACTCCTTATTCTAGGTACCCCCTAAACCCCAAGTCTTAAACTGTCTTTAATGCATTTTGTTGAAACTCCCACTTCTGAGCCTTCAAGCATCCGGGAACTCTGAAGACAAAGCTAGGACGGCACTCAGAAGCGCGTTCTAAACTAGGGTTTAGGGTTTAGGGCCTAAACCCTAAACCCAAACAACCCTTGACAGCCACCCTCATCAGCTGTGGCCGAGAATCCGCAAGTCACACTTCAGAGACATTCCGGGCGTGGCCCTCTTGGCCAGTATGTCATCCTGGATTATGTAGGGATGATATCCATTATAGTAGTTTCCATTTTCTTTTCCTCATCCCCCATATAACCCCAATACAACCCTAGTATTTCTCTAATGGGTACCATACTTTTGGCAACCACCCATATGATTCTTCAGGCTCCTGTTATCCGCCCTTAAGGTGCTCTAGGCCGCTTGCTACCGCACTCTACAGCACATGGAGAATTCACAACCATGGCGTACTTCACCTAGGCATGGGCAAAGTCTTCGGAGTCCCTAAAAGGCCTTTAGGGTTTAGGGTTTAGGGTTTAGGGCTTAGGGTTCAGGATTTAGGGTTTAGGCTTTAAAGTCTAGGGTTTAGGGTTTAGAGTCCCCAGGTGGAATCTAGGCCTCCTTTAAGGGGTACCCACATGATAACTAGTCCTGGAGATTTCCGTGCTGGATGAGGAGATCACCCTTACAGGAAGCATATATGAACCTCATATAGCCCCATTACCCTTCTACCAGGCTTAGATGAATCTGACTAAGGGGTAACGTGGTAACTACCTGAGGTTTAGGGTTTAGGTTAACCCGACAGTAAAGTAGCGTTTCTTTGGTGGTTAAACCTAGTAAGATTACATTCCTTATATACAATAGTATACCCCAAAAGGAGGATATAATCTTACTCTATATTGGGTACCATAGTATCACCAAATAAAGTACTACTCATAAAAAATAGGGCTTGCTGAAACAAAGAAGGCCGGCCTTGAGTTTGATCAAGCGCTCGATCTTCGGGTAGTCTGAGTATCTGTTCTGGTAGTCCAGGTCACGGATGAAGTTCTGCCTGCATGGTGGGCAGGTACAGGACGGAATTCAATCTATGAACATGCGGGCTTTTCTCAAAATCATGGGCCCCTTTTGGCTCTTGGTTATATTACGACACCTAATATTTAGGGTACCCAAACGGGACCCTAAATTTGGGAACTACTCATGTGCCCAAAACATGAACCTTTCCAATACTGGGAGTCTGCCTCATATAGCCGGCTATAACCGCCAATCCCAAGGAAAGGCCCCAAATTTTTTGAAAGCCCCTGAACCCTAAAACCTGAACCAGAAACCCTGTATCCCAAAGAGAGCTGCAAAGCCGAACAACCATGGCCATTCGAAGGATACTGCTCGGCTTGGGCGAATGCAGGCTGACTTCCTTTTTAGGGTTTAGGGCTTAGGGTTCAGGATTTAGGGTTTAAGGTTTAGGGTTTAGGCTTTCTCCTGAAACATGGATGGTGGAGGTCTGTAGTATAGGAAAATGTAATCTACATCTTTCTACCCTAAAACCCTAAACGCCATCACCCCATTATAGTAGTTTCCATGTTCTTTTCCATTATCCCTACATAGCCACCAAAATAATGCCAATATTACCCAAAAATCACCCCCAATATTACCCCCCTAAACCCCTAAACCCTCATTTCCCTAAACCCTAAACCCCTGAACCCTAAACCCCCAAAGCCCCTAAACCTTAGTTTCAACCGTACAACATCCATCTGAGGCAGGCACGGCCGCAACCCCGTGTCGATGAAAGTCTGACCTCGATAATGGCCAAGGCCTAGTGCTTTAAGGGAATTGAGATTTAGGGTTTAGGGTTTTTGGAAATGAGGGTTTGGGGCTTAAGGTTTAGGATTTAGGGTTTAGGATTTAGGATTTAGGGTTTAGGATTTAAGGTGTAGGGTTTAGGGATTTGGGGTTTCAGGAAGTCAGGCTTTACGGAAATTAGCCCATGATTGAGAACCAAATGGAGTATGACATGGAAACTAGGGCTATATGATAAGCAGTCATACCAAGTCATACCCTCCTCCTGTACTGAATTCCCCCCACCACCCCTAATAATAACCCCCCACCCCCAATATCGTACCATTATATATTAAGGGGGATGCTGTTGTTAAAGGGGTGTAGGGGGTTTCTTCGGGAAGGTGATTACTTGTCGTGTTCTTTTCCATGATTCCATGTCAGACGGCCGTGAAAGGAAGTCTGAGATATTCCCTCATGGAAACTTACTGGGAGTTAGTAGGGAATAAAGGATAAATGAAAAGTATGTAACAATATATTTGCATGTATTATTGAGTATTGTTAGACATTCATGTATTTCGATATACATATATATACATAAATATATTGTTATATACTATACAGGGTCTATAGTATATTCCCTTTTTCGGAAACTAGACAAACTGTTCTGCAAACCATGACAGGGGCTGCGCAGTAGTCGTTGCGCATCAGGTACTTGGAGCTAACCTTCGCAGGACCAGAGCGCAACTTACCTTTTGGTTAGCTAGAAATGAGGAATGGATCCTTATAGTAGTCCCATAATAGGGTTTAAGGGTTTAGGGGTCCCGATATAACCCAGATTTCCTTTCCATTCCTTCATTCCCAGCCAGTCAAGGCAAGAATCTGGTTCTTCTCCCCGGCCCCCAGCCTATGTAAAGCAGCTCTTCCCACATGGGAAGTTTTTAGGAATTAGTAGGAGGCACCTTTTGAGAGTTCCTGCAACAAGAGTATATGAGCTACAGTCAATATTACCCAAATAATAATGGACATGAGGTTCCTTATTCAGGACGATATTAGGGACTATATTAGGTCACTATAAAGACTCCCTTAGTAAGGCTAATATTGACAGTAGCTCATATGTTGAAGTCTAAAGTGTGGTCCCACTTAAGGGATGACAAGACGAGCTCCCGAAAGGCCATATGAGCTATAGTCTAAACTCCCAGTATCCCCCACAATAAGCCCTATAATNNGTTTAGACTATAGCTCATATTGCGGACCATGCGGCCCTCCTTTCATGCTGCTGCCATGCCGCGACGCCGCTGGTTTTGAAATTGTCCCGGAGTTTTCCCGGGAGGCGGCAAATGCCGAACTGGTGTCTGTCACGCTGTCCAGCTCGGCTGAAATCAGCCACAGATACCCCAGAACTTCCTAGAAAACTAAAACACAAGGCCGTCAGTCTCAATCTTCATCTCTGTCGTCCCCCATGATGTATGCCGTCAAAGGCAGCAGGAGTATCAAGCATCCAAAAAGGAAGCCAGCCACATCGGAATATTCCCAGTACTGGACGGGACCCCGGGCATAGACCATGCGTAAGGGGTCCACCTTGGACATGTTCGTCCAAGCGTCAAGATGGCTCTCTCGAAACGGGGGCCAGGCAGTGAAGGAGTCCGCAGGATCCTGGGTTGCTGTTAAGGA